TGCAACGCTGATCTCTGCTTCTGTGCTGTCAGCGAAGAGTGCTTTATTTTTAGGGTTGTAACATGCAACCTCCTGTTTCCATTCTGACCGCATGGTACTGATTTATCAATATCAGAAGAATGAATCCGTTAGAGCTTGAAATCTATATTTCTGAGAGTCAAATCTTATTGATTAAGGAACCCTCGTATTATTATAGTCCCTGCTCTTATCACTTTTTATAAGTTAAATGTAATCACATTATTGTAGACAGAACAACCTAAAAGAATAAATAGTTCATCGACTACCGTTATCAAGTTTTAATGGTTCTGCATATTCCTTCTGCCATAGCCATTGCAGGCTCTTTGCAACGAATACCTAGGTTAGATTGCCTCTAAACACCATGTCTGCTGTCAAAGCCGAAGAAGACCTATCTGAATGGTTCCTTGTTAGCTGTAGAATTAGTCACGCAGATGTGATTTAGCGTTTGCTATTCAACATTATTCTCGACCTCGTTCTCTGTAACTTTGCTGACCCTGATAAACAGTTAGGTCTCATTCTAAAGGGAAGGCGCTAGATCCGATTAGATATCTTGTTGGCATGGATTATGCAGATGATATCGTCCTGGTGAGTACTACGAGTACCGGGTTCTTTCATTTGACATGGTCCGTGTGTAACGCATTGGCGAATGCCGGCCTGGTCCTTAACGCCCGATAGCAAAATGATACGAGGAACCCTTCGGGCACAGCTGCTCTAGAAGTGGAACAGAAAACTGAAGCTTTACAGGAGGTAGACCAATTAAAATATTTCTACCCCTATATCTCCACTGACGGCACCATATAGCGCATACGGCACTGTAGTCATATACGAGAGTTGTTTATAGCCTCGAATGTTTTTGAAAATAATTGTAATTGTTAAGTAATTGGGTTGAGACAGGAAACCTTAGTGAAGAGATTAGAAGAATTTAAGTGAAAGAGTCAAACAATTCATTGTCAGATCTCCGCTAAAAATGTAGGCAAAATCTTAAACAGGATGAACAGCTCTTCTGTACAGAAAAGGGCTGTTACATCAACAACATAAAATTGCAGGGGCCGTTTATCGCAAAAACTGCGCACATGCGGAGAGCTAGATAAAAAACCGGAAGGGAACTAAAAAGCCGAATAAATACTCGGCCGTTGCGAGCACAGGAGGAAGAAAAGATCAAATCAAACAACGGAATGATATTTGCATGGAAGCTCATTGCAGAAGGAGTCCTGAAGCGATCAGAGTGCAACGATCGGAAAGTAAAAATCAAGAGGAACAGACAGAAGGAAGCTTGCAATAAAACTGCTGGGAAATGTGTGCATCTTTGAACTATTGATTGTCTTAACAAATTATC